AAACAAAAATTTTTTTTTCAGAGCTCACAGAAAATATCGCTAGGTATTAAGAAGATTTCTCAGCACCAATCAATTTCTTGCGGAACGTAGCTTAGCTTTAACACCAATCAATTAACCGTGAATGCAAGTTACATGAAAAGCTTAAATTCACGCGAACAATTCTTAACTTTTACTCCAAATTGTGGCCACACAGGGAAAGGCTGGCGAATGCCCATTCTTCAGTTTTTAAAGAAACATAGCGTTGATATACACGACTGCCGTGGTCAATCGCCAATTACAAAGTAATTCTGATGAGAATTCCAAAATATAAAAGATGAACAGAAATAGTACGTGGTTAGAAGTCAAGCCCGAGGACTGGTAAATACGTTACCTTTTTTCAGATATTCTTGAAAGCTTCAATTCAACCATAAAAGAATAAAGCGAATCAACAGAGATGCTTTTGTAAGTTCAGAAATTATACTGATTTATTCTATGATGGAAAAATACTGCACAAGTGAAAAAGCCTTCTCCGATATGAGATTGATCAAAAACTCTATTTATCAATCTAAGCTCAGAAAAGAATACTGCGGGAATTCGACTTTGTTGATGTCGTTGCAAAATTCTCAGCTCAAAAGTCTCGGAAATGGTACTTCCAGTAGTAGCATTTTATTCCCAAGTATTAAATGCTACAAGGTATGAAATTGAGAGTCTCCATAACTTTATTATTTATGAAATGCGAATCTGATTATATAAACGATACTGTTAGAAATACAATTTTTTCCAATTAATTGTATGTAATATTAACTCAAAAAGGGGAAACCACATGTATGACGGCCCAGAGCCCCCACATTCTTATTGCGGCCCTGTGTAGGACTGATAGTTTTGGAGATAATTGCGCCGATCTGGGCGGGGTTGTTGTAGCCGCTACATCAACAACAACAACAACTAAAAAAATAGTTATTAAAAAATTTTAACACTGAACTTTCATCGACTTAGGCGAGTCGTAAGATATTGACCGAAAATTTTCATGTTTCGCAGATTTTTTTATGGCTTATGTAATGAACCATATTTGTGCTATTAACAATAATAATTCTAAAAAATCAGATTTTTAGCCCACCCTTATATTAATTTTTTAAGTTTACATAGAAGTGATAATTTCGTGCTTAATCTCAAAAAATATTTGTTTTTACCAAGAATCTCGTAAAATTGATACTGCGTGCTTAAATCGTACATAATCTTAAAAAATCAAATGTTTTTTAATAAGATTTTGTAAGCTTAATTTACGAGTATAGAACAGGCTAAGTAATTTGGACTGAATAAACATGTCTATCAAAATTTCCGGGTTTCTTTTGAAGACATGTTTTCTACTTAACCTCAAATATATACAAACATACATATGTATATTTATTAAAATGCCTGAATTTTTTGCTTCGAAAATTACAATTTTTACAACGCTTTTTAATACCTTGAATACGCGAAGTTAATGGAACTGGTTAAACTTTTCCACTATGTATATTTTTCTACTTANCTTAATTTACGAGTATAGAACAGGCTAAGTAATTTGGACTGAATAAACATGTCTACCAAAATTTCCGGGTTTCTTTTGAAGACATGTTTTCTACTTAACCTCAAATATATACAAACATACACATGTATATTTATTAAAATGCCTGAATTTTTTGCTTCGAAAATTACAATTTTTACAACGCTTTTTAATACCTTGAATACGCAAAGTTAATGGAACTGGTTAAACTTTTCCACTATGTATATTTTTCTACTTAACCTAAAAAAAAAAACTTGCAATAAATTCGATTGGTATGTAAGTACTTGATACGCCAGTTCAACTGCGCGGAAGAAAACAAGCTTTCTACAAAAAGCTCTAGGTTTCCCTTAAAAGAAAAGTTTTCGTACCTAACCTCGAAAGCAAATTGAAAATGAAATTAAAAATGTTCCTTTTTCCCGTATTTATTCTCAAACCCTTAAAATGCAATTTTTCTTGCATAATATTTAGCTGAGTAAGCTAAAACTGAAATTTTCACTTTTCTACCAAAGTATGAGCTTCTTGTTTTTAACGTAGTTTTTTTTTTGNTCCTAACCTCGAAAGCAAATTGAAAATGAAATTTAAAATGTTCCTTTTTCCCGTATTTATTCTCAAACCCTTAAAATGCAATTTTTCTTTCATAATATTTAGCTGAGTAAGCTAAAACTGAAATTTTCACTTTTCTACCAAAGTATGAGCTTCTTGTTTTTAACGTAGTTTTTTTTTTGATTATCGTTTTTTTGTTTATTACAAAGTATACAAAAATCGACCCCCTTTATTTTTTCCTGTTTTATCTGCTTTGTCTTGTGAGTTTGTGAAATTTTTCAACCCATTTGTCAAACATTCATACATGTGTATGTATAAAATAAAATAGTAGTAGAATAGTAGTACTATTTGCATTTCTTCGTAGCTCACTTGCTTCTGTGTTGTTGTAGTACATGTGCGTTGTTTGATGTTTCCCTTTTAAATGTTTACTACTAAAAATTAACTAACGCTTAGCTCACAAAGTCGATTAAAAATTGCTACAAAATTATTGCCGCTTTGTACAAATTTTCGAAAATTTATGTTGACTATTTTTTGAGAAATCATTTTTATGATTTCCAAAATGTAATAAATTTTTTTCATTTATTTACTTTATCTGTATGTTTTAAAACAACAAATAAAAAAAATACAAAAAACAATGAACCTCCACTCCCACTTCGCATCATCGCTTTCGCCCACTCTATTTTCCAATCGTCTGTCGTGGCTATCGCTCCCTCAGGTCTACTCGCTCGATTCACCAGACACCTTTCAGTGTCTGTATTCGCCAGCGTTTGCTTCGATACGCGCCAAGCACATCGATCGCATCGCCGAGCAAATCGCGACTTTGTGTGCCACACTCGGCGAGTATCCGATGGTGCGATATCGCACTGACTGGGATCGCAACATAGATTTGGCTGCTGCGGTGCAGCAGAAGTTGGATGCCTATAAGGCGGATGAGCCGACAATGGGTGAAGGTCCGGAGAAGTCACGTTCGCAGTTATTGGTATTGGATCGTGGATTCGATTGTGTATCGCCGTTATTGCACGAATTGACATTGCAAGCGATGGCATACGATCTCTTGCCGATTGTTAACGATGTATATCGCTATACGCCCGGCCCAAATCAACCGGAAAAGGAGGTTTTGCTCGATGAAAACGACGATTTGTGGATGGAGTTGCGACACGAGCATATCGCTGTGGTGTCCACGCAGGTGACACAGAATCTAAAGAAATTCACCGAATCGAAGCGCATGACATCGAGTAAGTGAGGGGAGAAAAATGGCTTTTTTATAGTGCTTTTATACTTTTTTGTAACTATTTTTAAAGTTTTTAGAAATTTTATAATTGCCATGAAATAATACATACTTCCTTTTTTGGCAACCTTTTTATAGCTGATAAATCTTCTATGCGTGATTTATCGCAAATGATCAAGAAAATGCCCCAGTACCAGAAGGAGCTGTCAAAGTATTCGACACATTTGCATTTGGCTGAGGATTGCATGAAGACTTATCAGGTGATTGTGAACTAAAATAAGGAAAAAAATTACTTTGAGGTGCACGAAATGAATTCAGGGATATTCACGCGTCCAACGTCATTTTCTACACCCCTACGGCTTACACTTAAATTTTAAAATATTATTTTAAGCTATAAAACGTTATCTGGGGTATTCACGTAACCGAAGAATATTAAAAATATTTCAAAAATATTTTTTAAATTTAATTAATTTTTTTTTTAATAGAGCACAATTCGAAGGCCAGCTCTTATTTTTGAACAAAAATATTTTTTATAAATTTTTAATATTCTTTTGGTGTAAAAAGTTGTCAGTTCCATTCCCATAACCGATTAATTATTAAAATAGAGTACATGAAAAGTAATTTCAACTAATATTTTAAGTTTTTTAGTTTCTAAGTAATTTAAAAACATGTTCCACAATAGGGTTTTCACGAAAAGCAAATACTAAATATCGTGAATATCCCTCTTAATCGCTTTCAGAAATCCATATGGCTTACTTTTATTGATTTTCCTCTCAATACCTTGACTTCAATTGCTTTTCTTTTATCAACACTTTTCTTTTTCCCAGAGCTACGCCGATAAGTTATGCCGCGTTGAACAGGATCTGGCTATGGGTACTGATGCTGAGGGCGAAAAAATCAAGGATCATATGCGTAATATTGTACCCATACTTCTGAATGCGGTGAGTTGGCTATGAAGCCGCTTTTGAAGTTTGTATTTAATTATTTTCTTCAAATTATTTTCCCTGTAGGATGTTTCCAACTTCGATAAAGTACGCATTATTGCGCTCTACGTTATGATTAAGAACGGTATTTCTGAGGAAAATTTGACAAAGCTCTTCACGCACGCCTCACTATCGCCTAAAGATCAGGATATGGTGCGCAATTTGAGCTTTTTGGGCGTAAATGTGATTGCCGATGTAAGTATCAACTTCAAATAAAAAAAAAGAGCAGTGGGAAAATCAGCACTTGAAGACAAAGACATTAATTTTTTGAGGTTATCGTTACTCTTTCTTTTTCTTTCTTTTTTGTTTTACCTACTTTGTAGTTTAATTTCATTTCATATTTTATATTAATTAGTTTGAAAGCAAAGTTTTTTCCTTTAAATTAGTTAAATATTAACTAAAAAAAAAGGTTATCGTAAAAATCAAAATTTTTGCTATAATTATTTCTTTACATCTATCCATATAGTCTCGCAAGAAAGTCTATAATGTCCCACGTAAGGAACGCATCACCGAACACACTTATCAGATGTCGCGTTGGACCCCTGTAGTCAAGGATATTATGGAGGATTGCATTGAAGATAAATTGGATCAGCGTCATTTCGCTTTTCTGGCTGGACGTGCACAGAATACCAATTATCATGCACCAACAAGGTAAGAAAGCACCTAACAAAATTCTTAAAATATGTGTGAAGGTGAAATTTCGATCACCATTGGAGATGGCATAAAACTTCACTTGCACTTCATCGCTTTTACATACAACCTCGCGTTAATATCTAATTAGTTTAGGACCTAAACTTTAGGCGAAGTGCAGGTGAGAACAAGATATCGTGATGCATGAATAGTGAAGAGAACTGAGTGAAAGTTTGGTGAACTGAATTTAAATCAAGGTATGAAACCGATTTAAAATAGCGTACCGGTTTCGGTTTCGGTTTTGCATAGTGTTTCGATTTCGTTCTTCAAAATTTGTTTCGCTTTCGTTCTGGAATAAAAGAAAACAAGTTTGACAAAAAAAAAAAATATTTAATAAATATGTACCTTCCAGAGTTTGTTTTTGACGAAATTAAACATTGTGATTACATTTTAATTTATATAAAGAAAACATTTCTGAGTCAATTATACAAACTAATAACCATATTCCACCACATTCGACTTAGATCAAAATTCAGAAATTTGTTTATTATATTATTTATTACATAATGAGAGTTGTTGCTGATAGGTATTTGATATACATACGTATAAGTGTGATTTTCACAGAAATTTTGTTGATATTATAATGTAATAATAATCGTTTGTTTAATCTTACTCGCAAAAGCTAATAAATTTATTTAAATATTTGTGGCCCATACAATTGATTAGTTCTCATCAATGAAATCGAATCCACTACATTATTACTTGAATTGACTCTCGTTGGTGGCAAAATGAATTTTAGGTCAGAAAACAGCCTTTCAACACTGACCTGCGTTGCAGGAACAGCTAAAGATATTTTAGCTAACTGAGCTAAGTGCGGTTTCCGCAAAGACTCATTTTTCCAATATTGTAGAACATTAATACTTCGTTCTTGCCGTCTTTGATTGGCAAATGCCACTTAGAGAGGACGGAAGTTTTCGGTCCACTAACATAATCGCAATTACGATTCGCGTCTGAATGAGATCATCTAACTGAGATCAAAATCATCGGACTCATCATCTGAAGTTACAGCGGCAGTACTGTTACCGCCTTGTATAAATTCGCCTTGAGCAAGGCGTATCAACTACAGGTGATGGCGATAGAAGCCATGCTTCTTCTTATGAGCACGCTTGTGTCAAATTATCGCCTGTTTTGGTTTGTTTAAATATCCGCGTATACATACACATAACGTAAATATATGCCCTGCAAACAAATGCTTCCGAAATCTTTAAGAGCATCGGAAATTTGTTACGATTCTTTTAGGAATCTTTAAAGAAAAACATATGAAGCGGAGACAAACCTGAAACCTTTCAGAATACTCCGAAATCCTGGTATGCAGGGTATGCATATACATAGGAATATGAATAGATAAAGAAAGAAGAAAGAGTTCATACCACCGGAAAATGTTGTTTTTGTACGATTATTACCTACCTGTAGTTATTGAATCATGGCCTTGAATTGCACCACATTTATCAGTGTTGCTATAAGTCACGATATATAAGAATTAAAAGTAAGGCTATCCGCATACTAGTCAACAAATTTGTCATGCAAGTAATTTTTTGTAAAACGGCACAGTTATGCTCTGAAGAAAATTTTGGTTGCTAGATCCTGCAGCTAATTTTTATACAGGCATGTTCTGAAATTCGAAAATTTTAAATCGACTCGATTTCGATAATTTTTTCGATGGTTTTTAACCAAAAAATTTACAAGTCTCGTATTAAAATGATTTATTTCATATCACTGCCGCATCTTTTACGGGTTTCAATTGGAATATTCACCCTTTCCATCAGATATAATTAAAAACAATTTGGCAATTCGAGTCGATTTCAAAGTTTCGAATTTCAGAACATGCCCGATAAATTTCTGGAAACCGATTGAAACTTGTGTTTGAAACGGTTTCGTTTTCGTTCCTTTAATGGTCAAGATAACGGCTACGGTTTCGGTTTTGAAAAACGAAACGGTTTTAAACGATTACGGTTTTGGTTTCATTCTTTGATTTAAATTAAATGAAAATATGAGAAGAGTGATGAGTAAATGAAATTAAAAGCCAAAACATTGAAATGAAATGAAATGAAATTAATGGAATGGAATAGAGAAAGTGAAATGCGAGAAGAGTGATGAGAAGTGAAATAAAGTAAAATTAAGAAATAGTAGCAAGAAGGGTGAAGCGAAATGGGCAAAATAAAATGTAGAGTAATAAAAACTTAGAAGCAAGAAGTCACGTGTAAATGAAAAGTGAGAAAAGTGAAGGGAAATTAGCGAAATTAAATGAAATTAAATGACAAGCAATCAAAAGAAGAGAAATAAAATGAATTCTACTGCGAAAATAAGAAACAAGTAGAATGAAACGGAAGTGAGTTGATTGAAGTAAGAGTAAAGAGAAGTGGTTATCTCTGAAATAGTTAATCGCCTTAAATAAAATGTTTTGTAAACAAAATGCAGTGTGAAAATTAAAAGCAGATTGAAGTGAAGTTAGTGAATGGTTGTGATAAATGAGAGAAATTATATAAAAGTATGAGAAGCTAAAATAGTGAAGCAAAATGAGTTAAATCAAATGAAGATCTCTTAAACCTTGAAATAAAAATGTGAGAGGCGACACAGCGAAGTAGAGTGAGCGTATCGATACGAAACGAAATCAAGTGAAACAAAGGGACGATCTGTAAAACTGGCAATCGCTTCGCTGCTGCTGAAATGTTCTTATACTGGCTATGAGGTGGCAAAGTCTCTCAATCTTTTGTATATCCATGGAAGACATNATGAAGCAAAATGAGTTAAATCAAATGAAGATCTCTTGAACCTTGAAATAAAAATGTGAGAGGCGACACAGCGAAGTAGAGTGAGCGTATCGATACAAAACGAAATCAAGTGAAACAAAGGGACGATCTGTAAAACTGGCAATCGCTTCGCTGCTGCTGAAATGTTCTTATACTAGCTATGAGGTGGCAAAGTCTCTCAATCTTTTGTATATCCATGGAAGACATGTTTTCGTAGCAGACCTATTTTATGGCGACTCATTTTCATTTAAATAATTCATTTTCATAGCCGTCCTCTTAAAAATTTTGTTATATAAAACTATGATGGCGTTTAATTTCATTAAATTTCAAAAAACATTAAATTTCTTGTTTTCCCCCTCACAGCGCTCGCTATGGCCACTGGCATAAGGACAAGGCCCAAGCCCAAGTCAAGAATGTGCCACGCCTCATAGTTTTCATTGTGGGCGGCGTTAGTATGTCCGAGATGCGTTGCGCCTACGAGGTAACCAATGCCGTGAAGAATTGGGAAGTGCTAGTCGGCTCGTCACATATACTAACACCCGAAGGTTTTCTCAGCGATCTGGGCAGCCTTTCGAAGGAGGACTAATCCGCAGCTAACGCGACGAACGATAATGTAACAGATCGTACCGAATAATATGAAGGTAAATTTTTTTAAGGATTTTTAAACAAATAAACTTATGAATGAGTATGTAGTAGTTTAATTAAGTTGACTTATGTAATTCAGGTACCGAGCAGGCGCGTATATTTTGTATATGTATTGCTGTATACTAGTTATTAATTTTCGATAACGTCGTTGGGATTGTTTGTTCTTTTGATGACGATGCAATTAAACTATTATTGTTCATATATTAAATATACATATATGTATAAAAATTATTGATAAGAAATATTACAACTTGTCCTTAGGTTAGCTGTGCGCTAAGGTGTTTATGTATGTTTATATAAATTATTCAATGAAAAAAGTTGATTCTTGAAGAACTTACTTCCGCTTATTATCTACAACCTATATAAAAATTATACACAAATATATAATTGATTGCTTAATATATATTATAAACGATATGACTACATAGTGTAGGCGTGACGATAAATTCCAAAGTATTCTCGTTGGTTATGTGCAAATAAGCGAGCCGCTAGTAGGTTACGCATTTATCGAAGCAAAAGAAAGTATAAAGTATTTACATATGTCGCATATTTATAAAAAAAAAAAAACTATTTAATTAAATTATAAATTGCAATTTAACTTAAATATTATTGTATTTGGCTTTATTAACTATTATTACTTACAACATTTGAACTATTTATGCGCTTTTAAAATATACTTAAAAGCAAGGAACTAAGCATTATACTCTATGCAACTAAAAAAAAGTATGAAATACAAAAAAATTACAAAAAATATCAAAACACCGATTTTTAATTCGCAAACTTGAAAAGGATATTCATAAAAAGAGAAAAGTAATACATTCAAATAAAAAATAAGTGGTTGAATAAGGTGCAGACAAAAGGTCGCATTCACAAAGCATACATACTTTGAATAAATAATTTAATTAAAAAAATAATACATATTAAGCAAATTAACATTTAAAATAATTGCAACCTTGATTTAAAAAAAAATAACCATGATAATAAAAAAATATTAAAAATATTTCCGTATGTATTTAATAACTTAAATTGAGTGTTTAGAATGAAAACACAAATTGGTTTATTTCCAACGTAATACAATATTACAAAAACAATAAAAATACGTTAAAGCACATTTCCAAAACAATTTATTAGCAAAACATAGAAATAGAAAGTAATACAAATGCAACCATGTCACTGTAAGTGGCTTATATTATAAAGCAGTATGTATCGTACGTAATAAAGTGGTTCTATATGACGCGCGTGTTGTGTTTAAGGCTTTCGTGAAATTTGCAAAATCCTGCAATAAAGTACATATGCGCAGCTCAACTACACAACATAGTAGGTAAAAAAAATCAATCATTAAATAAAAATTAAACAATCCAATACTATTGCAATTAATGTAATACTTAATGAAAACGAAACTTTGCTACAATTTCTAATATTTTCGACCACTTCAAAAATTATGTACCTATGAAAAAATCAAACAACAAAAAATTTAGAATGCTATTTCACAAAATCTAAATAAAAATCTTTAATAAACTGAAATTCATATGAACCATAAGCGTTAACATATCTTGGCTAGCAAAGCTTCAAAATTTGGCAAAGCATTAAGCAAATTGTGATATATTGTGGAACGATTTGGGTTTGGGGACAAACCGAACGAAAAATGTCACTGAAGATGGCGCAATGCCATAACCGGTTTGGAGACAAAGGATGATGGAGAATCGTTCCGCAATATGTTCATACGTTCATCTACTCCTACCCCGTCGGGAACACCAACAATCAAAACGATAACATTAGTTTTGCTTAATGTTATTTCTGAAGTCTTGATTGATAGTTCTTTTTTTTAATAAAAATTCTTGTGTTCGGCTGGCGTTATTTTTTTTTTAACTCGCGATGTTTTTTGTCGGCACATAAAGCACAATTCAATATCTAAAATTTCGTTTGTTTCTTAATTCCAACTTTGCTTTCGACTCGGCAAGTGTTATTTTTTAATTCGCTCCTTTTTTTCGGCGCGATAAACAAGAATGTTTTATTGAAATCTCTTCTGCTTTATCTTGTTTTTTTTTTTAACGCCTTATTCATAAAAATAAAATAGATTTAAAAAGCTCTATAAAGTACCAGTTTCAAACAAAATTTCGATTTATAAAGCAGTCTTCTTTATTTTTTATGAATATGGGTGTTAATTTGCATTTCGTTAGTTTGGCTCGCGAGAAGCTTTGCTGGCATAAGTTAATTAGCTCCTTCATACTTCCAATAAAACCGTTCAAACTTAAAACTGTAAGCATCTACTACAATTAATACATTTGTGCATATCGTTACCTTAATATAGAAAGGCCCAATCTCTCATTTTTGTTTCTTCAAACATAGTTTGAAAATTTCGTGAAAAGCAAAGTTCTACAGTTGCGAATTTCGTCGAAGTGCTGGTTTTTTTATTCATTATTTATTTGTCTTCAATTTCTATTAGATATATTGTGAGCTATTTGACAGATTTTGTATAAATCTGTTTCGAAATGAAAATGGGTTAGGGCGTTTCTACATATATTATAGGAATGATATGTAGGTAGTATGTGTATCATATCGACATACATACTTACATAAAACTACCTTATGTACAGAAAGACATCTTAATACAATCTATGACGACTATTCATCGCACCACATATACCTGTGTGATATGTACTTCCAAAACTAAACATACTCGTACACCTCTACATACTTACTTTAAAATAATTTATAATACTTATACTAAATAAAATCAGATACTAACTAAAAGGAACGTACTAAGTAGTTAAGCTTTTTTCGAGTAGTTAAAAAAAAAATTCAATTCTTGCAATAACGGGAGAGCGCAGTTAAAATGATGACAAAGCAAAATAAACAAAAAATGTTCGAGTGTTTTAGATGCAAATATAATGCATATAGTAAATAACGTGAAATGAATAACGAATGTTCAACATCAAGTAATCAGTAACAATTTCAATTCTTTATATATATTATATATAAAAACTAGTTAAATTAAAAAATGTAGATAATAAGTATGGAAATTATAAAATATACATAAAATATATTATAAATAAAAAAAAAA